CCTTTCCCAGCCTGGTGCCCGCGCCGGCTACCTCGAAACGCGCCACAGACCCACTGAGGCACGGTGACGGTCACTGCAGGGAACGAGGACCGACGCACTCGGCCGGGCCCCCAGGAGAGGGCCACGGGGAGAGCCCTGCGCTAACTCGCATTAGATCCGGTGCAATCAATCGGCATCGTGTTTAAGAGGAAGACAGATACAGTTTCTCCTGGACGCCAAAATAAGCCACAGGTTTGTTAGATTTTCCATCTCGTGACACCAAAAGGCTCCAATTTTACTTTTTCTATGTGACAAATTTCTGACCACACACCGTTCTCCAGTGTTAAGAGGAGACAGCCTTGCTGAATACTCATATGGTAACCCTTTCAGCTGTCCAGACTCCAGGACTGGATCCTTTTATAAAACGTTACTTTGTAAATTACAGCCACTAGCAAATCACTGGTATTCTCAAATATCCTACTGTTGCTGATATCCAAAAATGAGCAAATAGACATTTTAAGTGAGTAATTACTCAAAACTAAAATACTGATCTGGTTAGGAGGCGGGAATTTCTATACAAGAGAACGTTTCACTCTCATCCAGTTGTGGTGGCTCACACCTGTAACCCCAGCGTTGGAGGGGCCGGCAGGAAGATCGTGAATTTGCCTGCCTGGTCTACATAGTGAGTTTGAGGGACCCTGTCTCAAAATAAAACAAAGCAAGGAATATTACACTTCTATCACAGTAAAATATTCAAGACTACTTACTGGGTTTTTTTCAGCTCCAACAATCAGAAGTATCCTGACATTTAAATGGCCAAAACTGCATGTGAAAGTCTGTGGATACTTTAAGTGTTTTCTAACAGTTCTAAACGGTTCCTTGAACTTGAAAAGGGTATATCTGGGTAAAACAGACCTACATAATTACAAAATATCCGTGTATCAAATGCAGGCTTTTAAAGCTACAAATTATGTGATAGCATGGTACCCACTTTTCTGGGTGTGGTGGTACAAGTCTGTAATTGCAGCACTCTTGGAGGCTGAGACAGGACAATTGCTAGTTTGAGCCCAGCCTGGGCAATTTAGAGACTTAGTCATTATCCTGTCTCAAAATAAAAATAAATCAAAAGGGCCAGGGGCATAGTTCAGTGCCAAGGCTCTGGATGCAATGCCTGACACAAAAAGAATGAACAGATTTAGGACTTAAAATGCGTTACATGCATACAACAACTCCACATGAGGAAATGTAAACATTATGTACTTCAAAAACATACTAATAAAAGTAGACACATTTAAAAAATAAATTTGGGCCAGCAATTTAGCTCAGTTGCACTGCACCTGCCCCACAAACACAAAGTCCTAAGTCTGATCCCCAGCACCACCAAAAAACCCACAAATAAATAATAAAAAATAAATTAATATTATAGTCTCAGTTTACCATTAATTTATTGTAGAAATATGGACACAGAGTTAATCTCTTCAAATTTGTGTCCTAATATTGGAAAACATATATATAT